CAAAACGCGTACTGTATGTTTGTGTTACCTTGAAATTTAATTTTATTGGTCAAACAGGTCCAGATAGCAACACTTGAACTATACAGGATGCAATACGCGTAATGTATGTTTATATAACACAAAATGCGTATTTCCTACAGATGGCAGCAAGGGGAGAAAGGAATATAGAAAGTAATCAATTTGCTATAGATGTCTCTCCTTGCACTTTATCTCAGAGGGACAAAAATTAGTTGTCTGCTACAAGCAATTTAGGAAGGAGGTTTCTACCTGCCTGCATATCTATATATATATTATCTTTGTTCATACCGCCCTTCCCGATCCATTCTTAAGAAACTAAATCTTTATTAAAGTGTGTCCTGCGTACAGCGTGAATAAGTAATGCCACATTGTTAATTTTCTTCGCGCATTTTCGATCAAGGTGAAAATGGAAAAATGCGTAATTGTCCCTCCTACGCAAGTGCTATGGTTCGATCCAAAATTGCGTAATGTGTATTTCTAGAATGCTGCACCTTTATAACTATGACTTATGAGTGATAAGCATTTAATTATTTTTTTCTCGCCGGAAATTCCAACGCCGCAGTTTACAGGTATACCATCTAGAGATGTTAACGATAGTGTAACGTAACGTAAAATGTACGTTTTTGTACGTTACGTTAAAAACTTTCAAATTATAATTGCTTAACACCAAAAGTAACTTCTTATTGTTTCAAATATTGGACAAAGCAATTAACTCCTCAAACTTAAGTTCTCTGTTAATTTATGATATATATATTTATAACATAATATTTGTGGTAAAGAATTTGAGATTCTGAGATTCTAGTTCCTATATATATCTTAGCAACCCATGCCGTTATTTCAAAATCTATGAATTATGTAAAATAAAAAATCAAAGTTTGAGTTTGTGGCAAATATTTAATTATTTTCTAAATATTTAGTCAAAGCTGAACGAACGTCACAATTTTTGTATTGCTAGCCGGTAACTGTAACTCAAAAAGTTTGAGTTAGCTCAAGAAGTAAAAGTGCAAGTAAAAAAGTTTTTAAAAAAATGGAACCATTAGAATTTTAATGGAATAACATAAAATATTATAATTATGTAAGAAAATACAAAAATAATAGCAAAAATAAAGCAACTAGTTTGTCAATTGGCTTGAATATCAATTAAAAAAAGATAAATTGGTCTGTTTACATAACTTTAAAAAGATAAATTGGTCTGTTTACATAACTTTAAAAAGATAAATTGGTCTGTTTACATAACGTTAGTCTAACAGTCGTCTTCCTCAACAATTAAAGCACAAGGGGAGCCTTACCGTATGTTTGAAAAATGTTATTATTAAAGGGATTTAAAGCATAATTTCAATTGATGGCTAGATGCCAATGCCAGATTCACAACAGTATCCTTAAAAACTTTGGCGGATCAAGTATGAATTAGAAATCAATGTTAATATTCTTGATTATTTACAATTATTACAAAAGTGACTTGCGCATTCCTACAATGCAGAAGAACATATAGGAATTATCAGAATTAAACATTTTTAAATCATAGTAAAACAACATTTTTTTCCCGATAATTAATCAGGTAAAGGTTTTAAGGGTACCGTTGAAAAACGGCATTGCCAATTTCGCATGAAGGGTCACTTGAAATTATACTAACAGTCCCTTTAAGTTAGAAATAAATTGTAATTATTTAGGTTCGTAAAGTGGGATTATTAAGATAATTATTTAGGTTCGTAAAGTGGGATTATAAAGATAATTATTTAGATTCGTAAAGTGGGATTATTAAGATAATTATTTAGGTTCGTAAAGTGGGATTATTAAGCTAATTATTTAGGTTCGTAAAGTGGGATTATTAAGATGTTGTTTGCCTCCCCTGGCCGTCTGTATTGCTGTTGCTTGTCTTCTAGCAGGAATAGGATATCTGGTGTACAGGTATACATGGCAAACCATTGCAGTACACTAGACTGTACAGGTATGCATCGCAGTGCATTGCAGAACACTAGACTTTAAGCTGTACAGGTATACATTGCAGTGCATTGCAGAACACTAGACTTTAAACTGTACATGTATACATTGCAGTGCATTGCAGTACACTAAACTGTACAGGTAAACATTGCAATACATTGAAGTACACTGGACCTTAAAGGTAGACATGGCAGTATATTATTATATACAGGCGTTCATTGCAGTACATTGCGGTACATTGCAGTACACTAGACTTTAAACTGTACAGGTGAACATTACATTAAATTAGACTGTACAGGTATACATTGCAGTACATTACAGTGCACTCAAATGTACAGGAATCCGTGCATCATACTATATTATACACTACAAACAAGAATTTAAGTACACTACACTGTATACCTCATTGTAGTACACTAGACTGTACGCTGTACAGTCCTGAAATTTAAAAGTTTATCTTATGATTTTTGGAAGAACCGTGAAGAAGCAACGAAGATATTTCGATATAAAACATGCAATGTTTATTGTTGATCTATCGTGGCGGGGTAAAATCCAACATGGCCGCGGTAAATGCCCCGCTTCAAAAATATTTTAATTTATTCCTGACCTTCGTCTTTCTGTTTGTTTGCTGAATAATATTTAAAATACAAAGTTTACAAATTATTTTGTAAACTTGTCAAGTTGTCAAATTCTCAGCAGGTCGTAGAAAACAATAGGGGCCATCTTTGTTTTTATAAAGTTTTGGATATATATATATCTGTATCCATAAAAAACAGCTGATTATTTAGATATAATAACAACAATGTCACAATTGATTGTTTAGATATAACATCAATGTTACAGCTGATTATTCAGATATAACGGCAATAAAAAAACCGATAACTTAAATAAAGTAGCAATATAGCTGATTATTTAGATAAACCCGCAATATTACAGTTGATTGTTTTGATAACCCAGCAACGGTATAGCTGATTATTTAGATATATTAGCAATATTAAAGCTAATTGTTTATTTATAACAGAAATGTTACAACGGATTATTTAGATATAACAGTAATATCACAGCTGATTATTTAGATATAAGAGCAACAAAATAGCTGAAAATATTGAAAAATAAACAATATTATAGCTGATTATTTAGATATAAGAGCAACAATATGCTGAAAATATTTTTAAAAAAGCAATATTACAGCTGATTATTTAGATATACTTGAGCAACAAAATAGCTGAAAATATTAAAAAAAGCAATATTACAGCTGATTATTTAGATATAAGAGCAACAATATGCTGAAAATATTAAAAAAAGCAATATCATAGCTGATTATTTAGATACAAGAGCAAAAAAATAGCTGAAAATATTGAAAAAAGCAATATTACAGCTGAATATTTAGATACAACAGCAATGTTACAGCGGATTGGCCTGGAAACCTAAAATCTTTACCAGGTATAAAAAGTTTTTTTGTGTAACACAAAAAACCAGTGATTTGATTTTTAGTTTAAAATTAAGTTGAATATTCAAATAATGCTTTCGATCCTGTTTAATGAAAAAAAAATCATTAAATACTTTTAATTTTTTTGTAAATATTCATTTTTCATTTAATAGTATGTCATATAAAAATAAATATTTAAAAAGATTCTTTAAAATATTCTTGTTCAGGGAAAAAATCAGCAATGGAGATTTGTGAAAATACAGAATTCGGATGTTGTCCAGACAATAAAACAATCAGGTTTCAAAATTTTTAATTTTTTAAAGAATCTTAATTTTAAAGACGCGAACTTATATAGTGTATTTATTTTACATACTTTATAATTGTTAATGCAAAGAAAGTCTTTGTCTAGCTACTTTTCGTATACTATTAATTGTCTCTAGGTTAGATAAAGGACTAGAGAGTTGCCTAACTATCTGTGTGCATGGAGATTGTGCTCCCAGAAATTTTACAGGTAAACCTTTAGCTATAATATACTCCTCAAAAACGGATAACAATGTACTCCCATATAGGATGTACTCCTATCTATAATATACTCCTATCTATAATGTACTCCTATCTATAATGTACTCCTTTCTAGAATGTACTTCTATCTAGACTGTACTCCTTTCTAGTATGTGCACCCCTCTAGAATGTACTCCTTTCTAGAATGTACTCCTATCTAGAATGTACTCCTATCTAGAATGTACTTCTATCTTCAATGCACTCCTGTATAAAATGTATTTCTTTCTATATGTACTCATATCTACAAAGTACTCCTATCTAGAAAGTATTCAAATCTAGAATGTACTCCTATCTAAAATCTACTTTTATCTAGAATTTACTCCTATGTAGGATGTACTCCTATCTAAAATTTACTTCTATCTAGAATGTACTCCTATTTAGAATGTACTCCTATCTAGTATGTACTCCTATCTAGAATGTACTCCTATCTAGAATTTACTTCTATCTAGAATGTATTCCTATCTAGAATGTATTCCTATCTAGAAAGTACTCCTATCTAGAATGTACTCCTGGATCCTGGGGACGGGGTGAGAGCGGGTGTGAACCCTGCCTGTGTTCTGGAGTGGGTTCTCTGGGACTGGATTGTAACAAAACAACAGGACAATGCAACTGCAGGACAGGATATGCAGGACATAAATGTAATATTTGTCCTAATGGCACTGTCCAGAGATATGGTAAGTTCTGACACAAATTACAGAATTCATTTCAAATTTACGCATTTTGTTAGAATATGGTAATATTTTGTTACAATATGTGAACATTTTTGTTAGAATATGTGAACATTTTGTTAGAATATGAGAATATCTTGTAAGAATATGAGAACAATTTGTGAGAATATGAGAACTATTTGTTAGGATATGAAAACATTTTGTTGGAATATGAGAATATATTGTTTGAATATGAGAATATTTTGTTAGGATATGAGAACAATTTATAGAACAAGAGAACATTTAGTTAGAATATGAGAATATTTTGTTAGAATTTGTGAACATTTTGTTAGGAGAACATTTTGTTAGAATATGATAACATTTTGTTAAAATATTAGAGCAATTTTTTAGTAGATGAAAGCATTTTTTTAGAATATATGAGAATATTTTCTTAGAATATGTTGTAGGAATATGAGAATATTTTGTTAGAATATGAGAATATTTTGTTAGAATACGAAAACATTCTGTTTTAAAAAAATTTAGAATATTTCTCTCCAAAGTTTTCCGAACACTGAGTTTTGTATAATGTGTTTTCCATAAATTGTGTTCTAAAATTGTAAGACAATGTTCGTTTAGTTATATTTTTGGATATTCGATATTAAGACTAAAATTTTAGCGTATTTTGTGTATTTTTAAAGATTAAAATGTCAAGGTTTATTAAAAAAAAGTGCTGGGGGAGGGGGATATTAAGCGAGATGGGTTCGGGTAGGTGGTGGGNGTGTAAAACTAGGGGAAAATGAGGGAGATGAGTGATTTTATTGTTTCACATTTCATCTTAGGTTCAAATTCTTTCAACAGTAGAAAAATAAACTTTTTCATAAAAACAAGATTTTATATTTACATAGTTCAAATAAAATTTCATTTTTCTCATTTTAATAAAGAGAATTTAAAGGGACTGCAAAGGATCTTGATAATAAAGAGAATTTAAAGGGACTGTAAAGGATTCTAATAATAAAGAGAATTTAAAGGGACTGCAAAGGATCTTAATAATAAAGAGAATTTAAAGGATTCCAATTTAAATTCAAATATGAACAATAATATTTCAAAGAAATTGTAATCGGTTAAGGGGTTCTGTAGAAATGACAGCTGGGATTTAAAACTCCTAATATATTTTTTATTAATTTTAATGATTCTTTCATAATAGTTAATTCATGAAGTTACCAAAACATTTTCCAGATTTTCCTTAATTTTACATAATGCGAAAACAAGAACAATTTGATACAAATTCAATTAAAAAAATGTCTTCATAATTGTAATTATAAGATATACTAAATATCGATGAAAATGTTCAATATAAAAATTTAGTTTGTAACAATCTTCAAAGTTACTTTGAGATTATTAGGAAGAAATATTAGAATTAAAAATGTCCGATTTACAATGGCACCCTTCAAGCTTTGTCTGATCTAGACAGAATTAGATCTCCATGATTTTGTTTTCTTAACAATTTATTTAAATTTGTTGTTTTTTGGAAAGGTAACATGCATTTCGTGCTTTTAAGAAACAGTTGACAAATTTTGGATTCAGAAGACGACGTTATCTTTCCTTTTAGATCAGATTAAGGTTTCAAGGGTACGGGTGTGAACCTGGCATTGCTATCTTTGCATGAAGGTCTGCTTGAAACTACGCGAACAGTTCCTTTAACTAAAAATATAACTATTAAGGTGGATGTGAGGAAACCCAGGCTCAGGATCCAGGAACACCTTGTACTTCTCAACCCTGTCAGGTAAGTTTAAAAAAGTTTGAAAAAAAATTATCATTATAGGATTAAATATGTATTGTACTTTTTCACAACATTTTTTATTAGCAACGGTGCTCCGTGAATGGTACCAATAATGTAGATGAGATACGTGTATCAATCTTGAAAACAGACATGCTCTGTCAACTTCCTTCCTTTTTTATGTTACAAAAATCATCTTTTTGGACTTTAAAACTTTTTATTTTTATAGATATTGTAGGCTCTGTCAATATTTTTAACCCTATAACAATTGGGCTCATATTGTCTAATATCGATTCGGTGGGGTACGCCCCCCATGATTTTGCCCTTGAAATTGAGATAGCGGAGTGTAATACTTGTCCCTTGTCCAACTTTTTAAGGCCTGATCATTGTTGACAGTCCCTTTAATATTTAGTGTGGAGGAACATTGTTGACAGTCCCTTTAATATTTAGGGTGGAGAAACAATGTTAACAGTCCCTTTAATATTTAGTGTGGAGGAACAATGTTAACAGTCCCTTTAATATTTAGGGCGGAGGAACAATGTTGACAGTCCCTTTAATATTTAGTGTGGAGAAACAATGTTAACAGTCCCTTTAATATTTAGTGTGGAGGAACAATGTTAACAGTCCCTTTAATATTTAGGGCGGAGGAACAATGTTTACAGTCCCTTTAATATTTAGTGTGGAGGAACATTGTTGACAGTCCCTTTAATATATAGGGTGGAGGAACATTGTTGACAGTCCCTTTAATATTTAGGGTGGAGGAACATTGTTGACAGTCCCTTTAATATTTAGGGTGGAGGAACATGTGACGAGCATGATGGCACTTTCTCCTGCTACTGTACCCTCGACAGATCTGGAAAATATTGTGAAAAGATCCATCCTCTAACCGATCTCGAGGTCGCAGGATTCGTCGGGACCTCATTTGTCCAGCTCAAACCTATGTCGAGGTCGGTGACCAGGACCTCGGTGGAGCTCAGCTTCAGATCGTTCTCCTACACCGGCCTCATCCTCCACACTGCAGTCTCAAGCAACCAGTTCATCTCTATACGTCTAGGTAGGTTGTGTTAAACTGAAGAAACTGGTCATCATTTTATGAAAGGGTCGAGAGTGCATGTTTACAATTAAAGTTTCTACAGTTGTTTTCACCAAACAAATTTTGGTGTTTTATAAGTTAATTTAAAAGTTTTGATTAAAACTACTGGGCCAGGAACTTTCCTTATTAACAAGCACTAATGAACAAAAGTGAAACATATTGTAGTTTACTAGTTTGACAAATGTTTAATTCTGATAATTTTATTTCAATTTAAAGAGAAAATAAAAATTCAAATAATCAATTTCAAATCGAATATGATGGATATTTAATCCATTTTTTTATCGAACAACGCTTTTCAGAGTCCCGTTGTAAATCTAACAAGCCACTCTTTAATTGGAAGGTTACCTGTAATAGCTTCCCATTAATCTATACATTATAATGTTTTTAGTCAGTGAATTTAGTAGTGGAGTTTAAGAATAGTTTAGGATAATCTATATTTTATAATTATTGTCTCCATTATAGATAATATTGTATATTGTAGTGAATTTAGTAGTGGAGTTTGAGAATAGTTTAGGATAATATATATTTTATAAATATTGTCTTCAATATAGATAATATTGTATATTGTAGTGAATGAAGTAGTGGAGTTTGAGAATAGTTTAGGATAATCTATATTTTATAATTATTGTCTCCATTATAGATAATATTGTATATTGTAGTGAATTTAGTAGTGGAGTTTAAGAATAGTTAGGATAATCTATATTTTATAATTATTGTCTCCAGTATAGATAATATTGTATATTGTAGTGAATGGAGTAGTGGAGTTTAAGAATAGTTTAGGATAATCTATATTTTATAATTATTGTCTCCATTATAGATAATATTGTATATTGTAGTAAATGGAGTAGTGGAGTTTAAATATAGTTTGGGGGAGGCTGGATCTTTAACTCTAGTCTCCATTATGTATAATGTTGTATATTTGAAGTAAATGGAGTAGAAGAGTTTGAATATAGGTAGGGTGGAGGCTGGATCTTTAACTCTTGTCTCCATTATAGATAATATTGTATATTGTAGTAAATGGAGTAGTGGAGTTTGAATATAGTTTTGGAGAAACTGGATCTTTAATTCTAGTCTCCATTATATATAATATTGTATATTGTAGTAAATGGAGTAGTGGAGTTTGAATATAGTTTGGGGGAGGCTGGATCTTTAACTCTTGTCTCCAGTATACCAATACAACTAGGAGAATGGCACACCATCAAAGCTAGACGATATCATCAGGTACTTGTCATACAAAATAAAAGAGATTGGTTCGCAAATCTGAGACAACTTAGATAAATTTAAAGGGACTGTTTACGAATTTTAAAAGAATGGTTTTGCCTTGTGTTCTGTAGATATTTTGTAAGAACAATTTTAAGAACAGAATCTTTTTAACATCTTAATCATCAGGCCTCACATAATTTAAATCAAGAATCAAGTGATGATTTAAAAGTGGAAAAAATGAAATTAAAAAAACATATTTCACTGTTCAGGAAAATCTTAAAATCAATTTTTGTTTAGGACGGAATCCTTCTGTTTGACGAGCATGAGCCTGTAATAGGTCAAGCTCCAGGCTCAGAGAAGAACTTGAAATTAACAAACTCAACTTTTATAGGAGCCAAACCAGGAGGACAATATCCAGGGTTTCAGGTAATACAGTCTGTCCCATTAAACATGATTTAAATTAAGGGTATCTTATTAATCATGATTTAAACACAGGGTGTCCCATTAAACATGATTTAAATACAAGGTGTCCCATTAAACATGATTTAAATACAAGGTGTCCCATTAAACATAATTTAAATACAAGGTGTCCCATTAAACATGATTTAAATACAAGGTGTCCCATTAAACATGACTTAAATACAGGGTGTCCCATTAAACATAATTTAAATACAAGGTGTCCCATTAAACATGATTTAAATACATGGTGTCCTATCAAACATAATTTAAATACAGGGTGTCCCATTAAACATGATTTAAAGGGACTGTAAACGATAATTTAAAGTGACCCTTTGATTGTAACGCCTGTAAATTATAATAAAATACTCATAAAAAAACCAAAGTCAACATTAAAACAGTTAATTTTTATCAAAATCTCATTTTTATAAAAATTTTCAAGGGATGTATCAAAGATGTTGAGCTGGATCATAATCCAGTTAGTCTTGTATCAGGTATACTTTTCATTCATTCAATCCTCCTTCATCCTATACAAATTATTCATTCATTCTAGACAAATTATTCATTTATCATATACAAATTATTCATTTATCCTAGACAAAGTATTAATCCTTCATCCCTTCTTCATTCATCCTTTATCCCTCCTTCATTCATTATTCATCCCTCCTTCATTCATTCTTCATCCCTCCTTCATTCATTCTTCATTCCTTCTTCATTCATACTTCATTCCTCCTTCATTAATTCTTCATTCCTCCTTCATTCATTCTTCATTCCTCCTTCATTTATTCTTCATCCCTCCTTTAATTCATTCTTCATTACTCCTTCATCCATTCTTCATTCCTCCTTCATTCATTCTTCATTCCTCCTTCATTCATTATTCATCCCTCCTTCATTCATTCTTCATCCCTCCTTCATTCATTCTTCATCCCTCCTTCATTCATTCTTCATCCCTCCTTCATTCATTCTTCATCAGTCCTTCATTCATACTTCATCCCTCCTTCATTCATTCTTCATCCCTTCTTAATTCATCCTTCATCTCTCCTTCATTCATTCTTCATCCCTCCTTCATTCATTCTTCATTCCTCCTTCATTCATTCTTCATTCCTCCTTCATTCATTCTTCATCCCTCCTTCATTCATTCTTCATCCCTCCTTTATTTATTCGGATATTTAGGAAAAGAACCTCAATTGATTTCTGCTCTTGCACTGACTGAGTGTACAAAACATCCTTGCAGTACACTACCATGTAAACATGCAGGTAGGATCATAGTGCAGTACACTACCATGTAATTATATAGATAGTATTATAGTATACAGTACACTACCATGTTAACATACAGGTAGTATCATAGTGATGTACACTACCATGTAATCATGCGGGTAGGATCATAGTGCTGTACACTACCATGTTCACATTCAGGTAGTATCATAGTGATGTACACTACCATGTAATCATGCAGGTAGGATCATAGTGCAGTACACTTCCATGTAAACATTCAGGTAGGATCATAGTGCAGTACAATACCATGTTAACATACATGTAGTATCATAGTGCAGTGCACTTTCATGTTAACATGCAGGTAGGATCACAGTGCAGTACACTACCATGTAAACATGCAGGTAGGATCATAGTGCAGTACACTACCATGTAATCATGCAGGTAGGATTATAGTGCAGTACACTTCCATGTAAACATGCAAGTAGGATCATAGTGCAGTACACTACCATGTAATTATACAGATAGTATTATAGTATACAGTACACTACCATGTAAACATACAGGTAGTATCATAGTGTTGTACTACACTACCATGTAATCATGCAGTCCAGGTAGGATCACAGTGCAGTACACTACCATGTAAACATGCAGGTAGGATCATAGTGCAGTACACTACCATGTAATTATGCAGGTAGTATTGTAGTGCAGTACACTTCCATGTAATTATACAGATAGTATTATAGTATACAGTACATTACCATGTAAACATGCAGGTAGGATCATAGTGCAGTACACTACCATGTAAACATACAGGTAGTATCATAGTGATGTACACTACCATGTAAAAATGCAGGTAGGATCATAGTGTTGTACACTACCATGTAAACATGCAGGTAGGATCATAGTGCAGTACACTACCATGTAAACATGCAGGTAGGATCATAGTGCAGTACACTACCATGTAAACATGCAGGTAGGATCATAGTGATGTACACTTTCATTTAAATATGCAGGTAGGATCATAGTGCTGTACACTACCATGTAAGCATGCAGGTAGGATCATAGTGATGTACACTATCATGTAATCATGCAGGTAGGATCATAGTGCTGTACACTACCATGTAATCATGCAGGTAGGATCATAGTGCAGTACACTTCCATGTAAACATGCAGGTAGGATCATAGTGCTGTACACTACCATGTAAACATGCAGGTAGGATTATAGAGCTGTACACTTAAATGTAAACATGCAGGTAGGATCATAGTGATGTACACTATCATTTAAACATGCAGGTAGTAATAGTAGGATCAATCTTAAAATCAATTTATTAACTAATTAATTGCCCAATCAAATAAAAAAAAACAAAAAAAGTTCAACTATAATTTATTTTCGAAAATCTACAAATGGAAACTGAAAAATCCGTTAATTTTTGTGTCATTATCATTTTAATATGTACAAAGTAAGGCCTCAGTAACAAATTCTATCATTATTACTAGAAAGCATGCAGCCACTTTGTATCAAAAGCCATTTTTCTTGGGTTTGATCGACTTCAGTATAAAATGCTATGAATGTAAAATGTATGGGCAGGAAGGCAGAAACTATTTTTTTTTAAACGATGCCTTAAGTTTTTCTAAATCTGGTTTAGCCGTGTGTGTTTTCTCAATTTATTGATTAGAATGCCGCAAGACTGATTTTACATCAATTTCAACTCTCAAAACTCAAAGATAATGCAATCTGCATAGGAGATTATATAACAACTTTCGTTTTCACAATAATTGTCAGAAATGGTACCAAAAGGTTACCACAAATGAAAATTATCAGTCTTGACATAACAGTAATATGTAAATTGTAATGAATACTCTGAAAAATCTTCTAAGGGTACGGTTGTAAATTGAACATGCCACTAATCAATGGAGTTTACCAATTGTTGACCTTTTCTGGATTTGGCAGGGCTTCATATCTTATTTTTCGGTCAGAACAATATACAAAGCAATTTTATTTAGCACACATTTTTTTTAATATTATAACCATATAAGATTCTTATGGAAACTCAATGCCAAAAAGATTTGATTAAAAAATAATAAAAAATAATGACCATCTCTAGCTGAATGCTGCTCCTATATGTATTTATAGCACATTTGTTTGTAGGCGAGTGTTTGGCAGATTCCTCAAGTTATCAGTGTAACTGTCAGCCAGGCTTCTTTGGTACCAGGTAGATTCATGCATTCATTCATACAATTCTAGTCCCACATATTTGCATGTCCCAACTGAATAGTGTGAAACCATGAAATTTAGGTCCCAAAACAAGGTTGATACATCTCTATACAGTTTATTCTTTAATCTTTTCATTTGTTTATCATTTCATTTATTTATTCTTTTGTTCTTTCATTCTTTTTATTCCTTCATCCTTTCATCCTTTCATCCTTTCATTTTTTCATCCTTTCATTCTTTCATCCTTTAATTCTTTCATCCTTTCTTTCTTTTATTCTTTCATTCTTTCTTTCTTTCTATCTTTCATTCTTTCATCCTTTTATCCTTTCATTCTTTCATTCTTTCATTCTTTCTTTCTCTATATCCTTCATTCTTTCATCCTTTCATCCTTTCATTCTTTCATTCTTTCATTCTTTCTTTCTTTCTATCTTTCATTCTTTCATCCTTTCATCCTTTCATTCATTCATCCTTTCATTATTTCATTCTTTCATTCTTTCATTCTTTCATTCTTTCATTCTTTCTATCTTTCTATCTTTCTATCTTTCTATCTTTCATTCTTTCTATCTTTCATTCTTTCATTCTTTCTTTATTTCATTTTTTCATTTTTTCATTCTTTAATTCTTTCATTCTTTCATTCTTTCTTCCTTTCATTCTTTCATCCTTTCATTCTTTCATCCTTTCTTCATTTCATTCTTACATTCCTTCATTCTTTCATTCTTTCATTCTTTCATTCTTTCATTATTTCATTCTTTCATTCTTTCATTCTTTCATTCTTTCATTCTTTCATTCTTTCTACCTTTCATTCTTTCATCCTTTCATTCTTTCATTCTTTCATTCTTTCTATCTTTCATTCTTTCATTCTTTCATTCTTTCATTCTTTCATTCTTTCTATCTTTCATTCTTTCATCCTTTTATTCGTTCGTCCTTTTGTTTGTTCATTCTTTCATTCTTTCATTCTTTCATTCTTTCATTTTTTCTTTCTTTCATCCTTTCAATCTTTCATCCATTCAATATGTTATCCTTTCATTCTTTCATTCTTACATTTTTTCATCCTTTCATTTTTTCATCCTTTCATTCTTTCATTCTTTCATTCTTTCTTTTATTCTTTCATTATTTCATTCTTTACTCTTTCATTCTTTCATTCTTTCATTCTTTGCTCTTTAATCCTTTCATCCTTTCATGCTTTTACTTTTTACTCTTTCATCTTTTATTCTTTGCTCCTTCATCCTTTCATCCTTTCATCCTTTCATTCTTTCATTCTTTCATCCTTTCATTCTTTCATTCGTTCACCGTTTTATTATTAATCTACTATTTTCAATATTTGAAAGCAATTAGAATTCGCAATAAGATACAGGGTGTCCCACGAAAAATGATAGTTGGTGAATAGTTTTCAATGTCTTCTTCCATACCACTGTACTAAATATTTAAGACTTTTTGCAGTTTATTTCGTCAAAAAATCTTTTACTCAAATATATTATACTTTGAATTCAATGTAACTAGAATATTTCTGCTATATATTTTTTCTTATATCAAACCCTGTATATCAATTTATAATCGACTTTTAGAAATGAATTATTAACCATAGTAAATTATACTTCTTAATTGTAGAACTTTTTTGCTTTTTCATTTTATTCCTGTTAATTAGTATTTATTTCTTTGTATACATTCACACAGTTGTTTACTACAATAATGCATCATTTGTAGCCGCCCTTGGCATTGATTTTAATATGATTGTCTTTAAAAGGTGTGGGAAGGCTAAGCCTCTGTGTATACCAAACCCATGCGAAAATGGTGGTCCTTGTTCAGTTGCGAATGAAAAGGTAAAATCATATTTTTTCCTGAAATATGTATCTTTTGAGATATGCTTTTCAACCTTGACAACTTTTCTTTATCCTGACCTAATCTTGGGGAAAAATATTTTCAAATTAAAACATCCAGTTTGACCTCGAATTATGACCCAAGGAATTATGAAATTCCCTTCTTGTTGGATTAAAATTTAATTTAATTTACCAACTAAACCAATGAAAATGTTCCTAAACATTCACTTATGTGGTGAGAACTATTAAATGTAATTAATAAGCTGTAGCCATAAACACCCCCTCCACCTTTAATCCTTATCATATGGATCAAAGTTTAATGATTTGACCAATGCATACTCGTAATGTTTAATTATTCTACAAAATTAAAACTTGTTAAAGGGGGATCAGCTGACGCAATCAGCTGACGCAATCACCTGATGCAATCAGCTAAACTACTCAATAAAAAGTCCCTGTCTCTGTTAAACTCATGAAATGGTTTTATTAACTTTCTAAATTTCGTTTTCTTCAATTTTAGGTGGTTTGTGGTTGCAAGGATGGATTCTCTGGGGGTCGTTGTCAAATTAATCTAGGATACCTGGATACCAGGGATACTGGGTACCTGGATACCAGGGATACTGGGTACCTGGATACCAGGGATACTAAGTACCTGGATACCAGGGATACTGTGTACCTGGATACCAGGGATACTGAGTACCTGGATACCAGGGATACTGAGTACATGGATACCAGGAATACTGTGTACCTGGATACCAGGGATACTGAGTACCTGGATACCAGGGATACTGAGTACATGGATACCAGGAATACTGTGTACCTGGATACCAGAGAAACCAACCCTGAAGAGGATATGCAAGCTGACCAGGGAGACCAGGAGGATCATGAAGGGATGAAGGGAGATACTCTTCACCTACAGGGTAACTCAGTCTACTGGGTCAATAACAGAATTCATAAAAGGTAAAAAAAAAATAGAAATATTATATCTAATAAAATTTAAGCAATCTTAAGTGTATCTAGGGTTTTCTAAACGGAATTGCGCGCAACTGTTCTCGTATTGTGCGGAATTGTGAGGAATTGCGCGGAAAGGCGGAAATTGTAGGGCCCAAAATTGTGCGCGAGTAAAATCCACTTGCGTTGAAAACCCTACGTGTATCTGATGTTGTAATGTTGTAATGTTTCTGATGTTATAAAGCAAATTGTTTTACTAGTAGCTTATAAACTTACTTAAAAGAGAAATCGGTTGGTTTACAGAGTGTATACTGAACAATTACTGTATTTTATATTCATTGAAGCATTGGATAAATTGAGTCTAAAAATGTTTCACTATTTCAAAGTTTCATAGACTTTACTTCAAAAGCACAAAAGACTAGCCTAAAACCTTTCAATTTTCTTTTCAACTTTTAGCTTTTGAAAAAGCAATTGGATCTTAAATTAAAAATTCACACCTTACATCAGATTAAACAAAAAATATGGATATATACATTATTTCTAATAATTTAATGATAATTTTACTCTAGGATGGAACGAATGAAGACGAATGATATCAGTTTAAGGTTCAGAACTAGTCTAGACTCTGGAACCATCTTTTACTCTGGAGGTGTCACAGACTCTCTAGAGCTAGGCGTAGTGGCGGGCAGGCTGGTCATTCGGGCCCATATAGGCAGTCCGACGGGACTAGGAAGAGGCGTGGCTGTTTCTAAAGAGAGGGTGGATACGGGGGCGTGGCAAAATGCTCTGGTGAGGAGAAATGGTCGACGATTGTACGTCAGGTATAATAACTTTCTGATAATTGTGAATCTAATTTTAATTTTTGAAATAATCATTTTTGTAAATTTTTGAAACACAAACCTTTTCAAGCAACCATGATTTAATAAATCAATTTGTCATCAAAAATCAAAGAAGATTTCCCAAAGTGCATCACAAATTTCCTTGCTCACATATTTTGTTCTGTAAAATAATTGTTTTATTTAGATTAAATGAAAAAGAAGTTTTGGCAGCTGAGGTTGAAGGAGAAGACACAGACCAATATTTGAATACAGATGGAAAACTATGGATTGGTGAGTTAACGCATGAACGCGGCATTCCGAGCTCCGAGCTGTCGTCTTTAATTAATCGGGTCTCATCTATTATTTATTTTCATTCCTAGCCCCCAGTCTTCCACCATAGTAATTATCATCCATCATAGCTGTGAAGCTCTAAATACTTTCAACAGGATGAATCCTGAAGTAAAGCTATATTTAAAATGATAGGAGGGGAGGGGGGGGGGGGAATTAGTTTTAGTTAATCAACCAGAGTGCATATTAATTCTATTCAATGTTTCATCTTGACATTTGAAAGAGAATTAGTAAATTGATAATTTTAAGTCTAAATTTTCAATTTCAATCGGTCACAGGGTTTAGAAATTATGATCAGACATTAAACAAACAAACAAACATAGATTACAACTTTATTTAGCTAAATTACTTAATTACAATTTTGAATTCTTTTATTTGAGAAACTTTATATATTGGCATCTCCCATTCATAATGCAAATATACACTTAAGAATCTGAAAATTGTTTTTTTTAAATTTTGGTTTCTCACAAAAGTGAATTGCAAATTCCTCTACAGATCCAACGAAAGAATTTAATAAATTAATTATTTTGTAGAAAACGACGTAATCTTCTTTATACTGGGATAACCAGAAAATAAGGGAAAAGGAAGACGATATTATTGTAATACTTATGTGTAGTTTATTTTGTTCAAAACAAATAGTTTACTATCAAATCACTAATTAAGTGAACTGGGTCTGTTTACACTGCACAATTGCTGTGTCTCATACTCAGTGCACTTTTTAAAGTCATAACTTGATTCTAAAAGTTTTTTTTCTATTTTAGAGTTTTCTGGTTATCACTGTAGTTACTCACATTATAGTTTCGGTAGAAGTAAATAATTCCATTTACTTTTAAAGCGCCGATATAAGGATTTATCTCTTATTGAATAATACGCTAGATAGAAAGATAGATGTGACCGCCATGCAATTTTTATTGGTTCAGAATAGACACCAAACACATGGCTGAACCCTGATTGGATCTGGCGCAATGGACTCGGCATACTAGAGTACTCAGAAATAGGCTAAAAGGCTACTGTTGTGAATCAGACGTGTCACTGTAAAGTAAATTGCGTACAGTCCCTTTAATTTTTTTTGTTTCAGGAGGAAGAGCCCCAAGTCCAAACCTAAATCAGAATTATTTTACCGGAGACTTGAAGGATGTCCAGGTTGAGGGGGTTCAAGTCCTACCCAGACAGTTTTAAACTGTTCAAGAAAATTAAAACAGAGGAAACTTGGAAAGGAACTTTCTGGCGTTGATTTATGAGTTCTTATAGTGGACCAGCAAAAGTGATACAAACACTTGTTTTACAGAAAAGATCATTTGGGAGGAAAACAAATATATTTTGAGTTGTTTTTGTCCTCATTTTCCCCCTTGGGTTGTTCTTGTCCTCATTGTCCCTCCTGTGTTGTTCTTGTCCTCATTGTCCCTCTTGTGTTGTTCTTGTCCTCATTGTCCTTCTTTTTTATTCTTGTCCTCATTGTCCCTCGTTCTTGTCCTCATTGTCCCTCTTGTGTTGTTCCTGTCCTCATTATCCCTCTTGTGTTATTCTTGTCCTCATTGTCCCTCTCGTGTTGTTCTTGTCCTCATTATCCCTCTTGTGTTGTTCTTGTTCGCATTGTCCTTCTTGTGTTGTTCTTGTCCTCATTATCCCTCTTATGTTATTTTTGTCCTCATTGCCTCTCTTGTGTTGTTCTTGTCCTCATTGTTCCTCTAGTGTTGTTTTCGTCCTCATTGTCCCTCTTGTGTTGTTCTTGTACTCATTGTCCATCTTGTCCTCATCGTCCTTATTGTGTTATTCTGTCCCTCGTTCTTGTCTTCATTGCCCCTCTTTTGTTGTTCTCGTCCTCATTGTCCCTCTTGTAATGTAAATCATTTTGTCTCTCTTATGTTACCCTCTTGTCCTTCTATTATTCCCTTCTTCTCCTCATATTTTCTCTTGTCCTCCTATGGTCCCCCGTGTTTCTATGGACTCTTTTTTCCTCCTTATATACTTCCTTAATCTTCTAATTTAACCTAATATGTCCTAATGTACCTTCTTGTAACTCTAATGTCTCCGTCTTGTCCTTCTAATGTTCCCGTTTTGTCCTCCTAATAGTACTCTTTTGTCCTTTTAATGTTCCCTTCTTGTCCTACTACGACTGTGATGATTGGCTGTGATAAAATAAAAAAAATTGGAAGATAAAAAATGTTGTGCAATGTGCACATATGTATTATGTACATACATGTACATTGTACATTGTACAAGTATGTGGAATGAGTTTATTCAAGTATTGTTATATTTTTGTAATCCTATTTATGCTGAAAACAAAAATGAACAATTAAGTCTTTATGCAAGTTATTTTTTCAATGAACTTTAATAAATTTAGATTCACAATATAGTTCGAATCTCATCTAATTTATTAGAAAATTTGTAAATGTACATTTTCAGCTATGGACAAAATGCAAATGTAATCAAATCCACTTTTTTTTAATAATATTAAGAGAAGAAAATAATTTTTAAAATCTGTTTTCTTGAAACGCAATATTTAATACGCAAATATGTGTTCAATATAAATAGTATTATGTTGTAAAAAATAAAAATGTTGATCTCGAAGTTGTTCGTGAAAAATAAGCGTAACAGTCTGTATCGAAAGAAATGAATAAGTAGAGGAGGTTAAATATCGGAAGAGTTCCCAGTCGGAGGTTTTTTTATTGGAGGAGCTGATATATTATTCATTTGTGACCAATCTTAAGGTTTAAAAGATACTTTGTAAATATGGAGGAATTAGTGGTAGAGATGGGCGCATTCGGCTTTTGCATTTCGTTCCTTCAGTAAAAAACGATTGTATTTTTCAAAATCTTTTGGGAAATTCGTGTGTTAAGTTAAACAACTGTCGTTTTTCAAGTCCGTTCAAACAATTTTAAATCGTTTTTTCGTCGTTCTTTTTTAAAAACGATAGTTTTTTCGTTCCTCTGCGTGTTTTAAATCCTAAGTTCATCGTTCGTTTTTTTCTGAACTTCACGAACAACTTCGTACATTCTCAAAAAGTTTACTTGTTCTCAAAAAAGAACATGTCCTTCTCTAATAATAGTCCTAGGAGCCAATAGTTAAAAGAATAAGAGAAGGTGATTATCAGAGGGACCGGATAATTGAAGGAGGAGGTTATTTTCCAATAATCGGAGGAGTTAAGTCTGGAGGATTTATTTTCGGAGGCGTTTCCAGACATTGGAAAAAGATGAGCGAAGACAAATACATTAAAGAAACCTTCTGATGAAAGCTCTATGATTTAAAGTAAAGTATCCATCCCGATAAAGCAGGCAGGCGGGCAATAAAGCTTAAAGGCACATTATATCCTATTTGCGGGCATTTCTGCCAAATATGCAGAAATTACTCTGCCTTTGCCCATATTTGGTGCCAATTCATTTTCCCCCAGATACCAGGCATGTAAAGCATATACCCACGTCTATATATACACGTATTCTAAGAATATTAAAGGGACCGTATATACGAAAACTTTAAGCAATGTTATGTTTAAAGGGGAACGTCCCGACAAGTCAACGAAGGTACATGAATAAACAAAAAATATTTGATATTTCATTTCTCTCTGATAGATTTTATACTTATACACTTATTTCAAGAATATTATAGGAACTATATAAAAACTTTCGGCATCTTTAGGTACAGAATTTTAATAATAATGTAAACAACATTTTTAACTGATAGTTTTAAAAACCAAATACTATTGGCCTATTGGAATAAATTGCGAAACGCAAATTGAAAATACGTGCGAAGAATTTAATTTAGTAAACTATATTCTGTGTTTCTTCTTTTCAACGTACATATTACGAAAAATTGTAATAATCTCCATAAAATTGAAAATATTTTTTTACAGCGACCTTTGTAAATGAGTTGTGAACACTTATATTTTGGTTTGCCATTTCAAAATTGTTTTTTTTAAATTTAGATCTTTAAAAAAGGTCATTTAATTGTGTATAAAAAAGACCACTATAACATTAGCACTTTACAGTGGTAACCAGTAAACAGTGGAATTATCTCTCTTTACAGGTAACCAGTAAACAGTGGAATTATTTCTCTTTACAGTGGTAACCAGTAAACAGTGGAATTATCTCTCTTTACAGTGGTAGCCAGTAAACAGTGGAATTATCTCTCTTTACAGTGGTAACCAGTAAACAATGGAATTATCTCTCTTTACAGTGGTAACCAGTAAACAATGGAATTATCTCTCTTCTTTTTCTTTGAATTATTAAAAGTAAACAATTTTTACTGATATAGTTATAGCATTTATTTACAAACACATAATACAAAATAATAATGTATGATGGTTTAGCTTAAAATAAAACATGAAAATTTAATATGAGCCAATTGAAAATACGATGTTTAATAATTTTTTTCTGATCGGTATTTGTTGAAACAGACTAGTCATATTTAAATCTCAACTGAATACACATTCATTGTGGATTTACAAGTAATTACTAAGCCAGCACTCAAATAATTAAACCATTTTCAGGAATGCATTAATTGAACTTAGAAATACATATTGATTCAGCAAAAGTAGCAATGTATTCTTGTTGACTGTATATTAGACTTTGACATCCACCATTCACAAAGGGTGTGAACATCTACTATAGTTGACTGTAATAGACTTTGACATCCACCATTTGCAAAGGGAACCCCATTCTTGTTGTTGTTGTAAATTACTAAACAAAAACAAAGACGATATTCAATCTACAGTTTTCCGAATCTCACTGTATTTCCATGTTTCTGAAAAAATAAAACTTCTAACGCTCGTAAAAATGCATTTTAACAGCCCAAGCGAACAAATTCAAAATAATGCTTTCTCCAACGTTTTTGCCTCCGACCCGGTTGAATGAAATTATTTCCTCTTCCAGGAATTCAAACATTTACAAGCTTATGTTTTTGCACAGTTTTCTGCAAATCTTTGAAAGATTTGACCAAAATTAGCACAAGAGCTCTAAACTGGGGTTTTATGTGTATTCAGGGTTATCCACATAAGATGAGAAATTTGTATTTTACAATTAAAGTTCCATATTTGAAGTTAACTTATTTCTTGAATTCTTTCAAATAATTGTATACTAGCTTTGGAACTCAGCTTTGCCCGGAAACTAAGTTTTTCATTTAAAAGTCAACCAACTAAACTTATTACTTTTAACTAAGCTAAGAACATTCCCGTGGTTTTCCCAAGTTCCCCAATCAAAATTTGAGGCAAATCGTTACAGGGATTCTATGAATTATAATTGTTAATTTAACCATGCATACAAACTAACAGAAATTACTACTTTATATCTTCTATATAATAAAACAAGACATTCGTAAATATATGTTGCCTATAGCCGGCCAAACGGCAGGACAGATTGGGCTAAAATTTTTTGTGGACTTTATTCAAGTCAAGAAAGTTCAATTAAGCTTTTGGATCATTTTTGTTAGAGAGTTGCAAGTCGTTTATAACGTCTCATCTATTGTGGGTAATTCCCTGTATATATACAGATACGGAGTGATGTACGTTTGGTTGTAATATTTTCCATACAACCTTAAACCACGGAGAACTACATTAACATAAAAAGTTAATAAGTCTACTTTTTTGTGGGTAACCCTGTATGTGTAAACATTTTCCATACAATCTTAAACCACGTAGAAATGCATTAATATTAATAAGGTTTATTTGATGCTGAGTTTATTAAATAAGAGTTTACCATGCCATGTGTTACAAATACATGCTAAATGTTTACCAAAACGTTCTGAATGTTTATCAAACGTGGAATATATTTACCGCAACATGCAAGCGGTAACATAATTTCCGTAAATTTCTTGCCAAAACGTGCTATATCTTAACCAAAACATCCTATTCGTCTACCAAACCGCAGAATATGTCAACCAAAACGTGCCAAAACGTTCCAAAGCATCGGGTACATTTCAACATGTTAAATGTTAACAAATAATATTTCCTGAATACTAAATTGTACTAGATGTTAATCAAAACGTCCCAAATACCAAAACGTGCTTAACCAAAGCGTGCTTTATATTCATCAACACGTTCTGGATGTTAACTAGAACCAAAAGATAGCAAAACGTGCTATCTATATTTAACTAAACGTGCTAAATATTTACCAAAACGTTCCGGATGTTACCAAAACTATCTATATTTCTACCGATGCATGAAAGGTTGTTATATAAGCATGCTAAATTCTACCAAAGCATCAAAGATTGTTATATAAGCATGCTAAATTCTACCAAAGCATGAAAGATTGTTATATAAACGTACTAAATTCTACAAAAGCATGAAAGATTGTTATAAGCGTGCTAAATTTTACCAAAGCATGAAAGATTGTTATATAAGCGTGTTAAATTCTACCAAAGCATGAAAGATTGTTATTTAAGTGTGTTAAATTCTACCAAAGCATAAAAGATTGTTATATAAGCGTGCTAAATTCTACCAAAGCATGAAAGATTGTTAAATAAATGTACTAAATTCTACCAAAGCATGAAATATTGTTATATAAACATGCTAAATTCTACCAAAGCATGAAAGATTGTTATATAAACATGCTAAATTCTACCAAAGCATGAAGGATTGTTAAAAAACGTACTAAATTCTACCAAATCATGAAAGATTGTTATATAAGCATGCTAAATTCTACCAAAGCGTGAAAGATTGTTATATAAGCGTGCTAGATTCCACTAAAGTATGAAAGATTGTTATGTAAACGCTGCTAAATTCTATCAAAGCATGAAAAATTGTTAAATAAACGTGCTAAATTCTACCAAAGCATGAAAGATTGCTAAATAAACGTGCACACCCCTCTGAAAATGTGCGTGGGAAGACTGGAATTTTTAACAATTAGACCGATGACAAGATACTCAAAAACTTTAAGTAAAAAATTTGACAAATTGTTCATAAAAATCCAAAACTAGATAAATCATAAACATGATTTGAAACTTTTATAGTGATTTAACTAATCCGTTTCATACAAATCTTCTTTAGTTTTTCAATCTCTTAATCCCACACAATTTAAACCCTAAACAAGCTTTTAACTTTGTCCAATTAAAGATGTTGAAAATTGCCCAATTAAGTCGCCAATTAATTAACTAGTGTGCAGCTAGCTAATCAATCTAAATGATTAATCAACTAATTAAAAAAGGGATTTTTAGATTGATTAAAATAAAACAAAACAAAAAGCAACAATTAAATTTCAGGTTAGCCTCCATTTCTAAAAGTTCCATGTCTAATTCACAACAGCACTCTTTAAACAATTAAAATGACTAATAAGGATGTCATGGACTTTTTCTTATTAATCTGCAGAAACTCTT